CCTAGACCCTTGTTTGATACACTAATTCGCGCTCGGAAAATATCTGCTCGAAACCATGTGCCCCAAAAAACGCTGTAAACCCAAAAGCGCACACAAACACACAAAAGTGCACAAACCATCGCTGGCCTCAGAGCTTGCGAGTCCTTTTCATCGACGAGCTGGCTTGTTGCTGGGCTTACAGTTTGGCGAATTCTCTTTTGTACTTCATTAAAGCTTTAGAGATACTGCGTGCAGCAGTGGTAAAGCTATGAGTTCTCCGCGAAATTCGCGAAACACGGCCGATGAAGTCTTCATCCGACCAGCAGGCATAGCCTAGGTCCGAAATGCAGCCGCTGAAGCGAGCAATGGCATGCAGTTAACTAGGAAAGCTTCGGCTTAATATCTTCCAAGGGACATAGTGGTGAGAGCACGTAGTTGGCACCATCCAACAGCTGGTGTTTCATGCACATCCTGATCCAGTACACGCACGAGCTGAATCCCAATCCCCGGTGCCAGGAGCAAAAGCACGTGTATACAAGTAGGGCTTTGCAACTAAAGGACACCAGGTGCAATTGCATGTGCACCTTTGGTCTGAGCTTGTAGAGGCACCAGCCCAGCTGCGCCGTTTTGGAAGCCAAGTTGTGATAGCCTTCCTGAGTGCCAAGTGCCAACCCCAACCCCGATCCCGCTAAGCTTCGAACTCATCGGTACGTACTAGCGCATATTTCAATTCCAGGCTTGTGCGATTTTGCAAGCTAAGTTTCAAGCATTTTGAGTCCAGATTCAACTGCCACTGTGGCAGCAGATTCAGGAACCCAGACCCCATAGGTGTAGAGGGTCCTCCAATATACATTCACAGCCATTGAGGTCCATTTCAGAAGCTCAAACAAATCTCGGCCGTCGTCCTTATAACGACAAAGAGGGCTCCCAAAACAGCTTAGACCCCGGACCCCTAAGCTCCATACCTTAATTCTTAAACCCGGCCTATATAGCTATACAAACACCCGGCCCTAAACCCGAAGCCTAAACCTTATCGTAGCTTAATGGTACCGAATGTATACAGAAGGCACCCTAGGGGTGTGTGTTTGTGCGTGCGGCAGCAAGTCTAACCGCTAGGGCTAGAGATGCCTTATCTGAGGAAAGCAAGCTACATCAAGAGATGCTGGGTCGAAGCTCATGATGACGTCGTTCAGCCATGCGCCCAGCACGGCGGTGTCATGACCCTTCCCGCACCCTTCAGGGAACATCTTCAGCCTCGGATGGGATTGCTTGACAGCTGTACATTAATATAGTACCTAGGCCCCGAAACCCAAACCCTACGGCCTAAACCCTAAACCCGGGCCCTGACCTACAAAAACTGTCCTAATATATAGTTTAAGAAACGATTTCACTTTGAAGACTTTTAGGCTGAACTCTGTCAAAGAAGTTGTTTTGCCATGTTCCTTGCACCAGTCCTTGAAGCACCCGAAGGCTTCTTCCAGCTTCCGACCCACATTCCTCCAACCTGTAGACCCAAAGCAGCCGAAATTAACCATGACCAAGATCGTAGAAGAAACCCAGTTCTTGCCCCATCCTTGGATCGCGTATGTGTGGGCTGCATCGGGCTGAATCCAGTGAGGATTGTCACAGCTTGGGAGATCTCGAAGGGGTGATCTTGTGGCCTTAAACACATCTCCAGGATCTCCGTCCCTTGGAAATGTTCTGGTGGAGGAAGTTGGCCCCACGTTGTACCAATCCTGCATCGGATGTAGCTTCTAGGTTACCTATAGCTAGTAAGTTAAATTTATAGAATTTGCAAGATTCGGAACATGCTACTGAAAATGGGATGAGGACTGCAGCCGGGCACAGATGGCATTTCTTTCTACTGCTGAAGCCGGTCATGAGGTGTGCTGCTGACCGTATATACGGCCAATCGCCTTTTAGATAGACCGGTATGAAGTAGAACTTATAGCTGTGGGCTTTCCATTCAACCTCACAGGAGCAGTGCTTCCCTATTGGAAACCCCAGAACCGACCTAGATCTAAACCGTGTACAAAAGAACCCTTGTAAAGTTCCAGAAAGGGCACGGTGAAGCCATCGTTGTACAATGCTAGCATGTCATCCACCATCCCTTGATGCAGCATATCAAGAGTGTGTCTCTTGTAGTACACCTGGGACGGGATCAGCGTGTACAGCAAGCGCGTGGTGAAGCTGTGCCTCCGGACATCTGGGGGGAAACCGTGAGTTGAGGCCTATGGGACTTGCTTTACTAGGATTAGTTGCACACTCGCAAGATTCATATGATGCACTGCAATTGAGATGCCCACTGCTGTTGATGAAATGGGGCCCTTTGTGGCTGATGATGGGTTGGAACGACAATACCATCACTGGGCGACGAAGCTTGCCTCGGCCTTCATCACCATGAAGAGCTATGGGGATACACATCCCCATGTCACGATCAGTACGACGATAAATGTCCAGATCAGGTCGCACGTGTTGAAACCGGTCCCAAAATGTTGTGAACATTTTACGGAACCTTCGGGGATTGTCGAGGGTATGGCCTCCAAGCAGAACCTTCCCACCAGTACTGAAAAGTTGCTGGGCCCATGCTGACAGAAACAGCACTGGCCATCCAACCGTCTCGACCCGTGGCTTTCCAGTCAAGACTAGAACCCTTGTATCGACTGTACCCACCGTAACAGGCAAGGCTTTCCCGTTGTTGTGTATCAGCTTGTGGAGGCTCTCACATTCATTGCCCTTGCTGCCAGCACATCGTGCCATCAAGCCCAGCATATGATCTACAATTCCTAAGCACAGCAAATTACACATGCCCTATGCCTTATGCTATCAAGTGGATCGACAAACACCCACAATGGCCCAGCAATGATACTTAAAGCATATCAACATTAAGATTTTCTGAATGGCTGGGTAGGAACCGTGCTTCCTCAGTTTGGCATTTGCCACCCTGGCCAATCGAACAACTCGCCTTGCAGACTCATCCTTAGCTTAGTGCCACAATTGGAGTCCCGGGGACTAGTACACCCCTAATGCCACCAAAGAACACCCTGCTCAA